TTAGGCTTGTCCAAATAGTGAATTTCAGGTTCGAAACGAATTCAAAGCAAATAGTGCTTTTGGTCTAATAATTTTGAATTGAATTTGAATAGCATATATGACATACAGAGAAAAATGGGCATATTTATCATGACTTAGCTAACCAGCACAGTATATTTTTATATTGAAATAAAGCTTCATGCAAATGTCATTTTTTTTTTCGTTCACAGGAAGTCGAAACAACTTTGAGTAGTAGCGGGACATCAGTTTCGGTAGGATGTGAGTGATAACTTGTAAAATAGGTAACATTTTAAATTTTATTATACTTAGAGCATATAAGTTGTCATAACAAGTTTTTAAGCTTAATAAAATGATGAATTGATTTGAGGGTAACATGTTCATTTAAAGGGGCCCTGCAACACCTCTTCAAGTAGCCATGGAGCCAGTAAAGAAGCTTGTTGCCTCGCAAATTCACCGCTGCAAAATTTTTTTTAGAACCAGTCCAGTACGAGCGGCAGAGTTCTGAACATTAGTCACACGCTGCAATTTATTTTTCTCTTTTCGTCCCGTCGAAATAGCTGGAAGCTAAGCAGGGAGGAATGGCACGGCGAACGAAAATACGTCACACGCACCTCGTGACCTTGAAAACCTCTTTTTTACTTCTTAGAATACGCGGCTTTTCAGTGCGATCGCGCCCACACGCCTGGACACGTCGCGGCCTCCCGCTGCGGCTACAGTGACGTCCGAGCGCGCCATGTTAAATCAGCCAATGGCTGATGCAATAGCTGTGACAAGCGACTTTTGAGCTCATGGTGTCATTTGCCGAGAGAATTGAGCAATTTTCAGCTGGCTGTGAGAATTTACTGTGAATCGCAGGTCGCGTGCTGCGCCATATAATTGGCTCGCGTGTTCTCGGAAGCCTCGACTACCGATCGGGAGCGTCTTCTGACTACGCTCAAAAAGTGTTGCAGGGAACCTTTAAATTTGCAAGAAGGCTTCGCGGCGAAACGAATTTCCCCTGGATGAGTGCTTTCACGGCTTAGCAATCGACACCGCAGCAAAACCACCTTTACAAGCCGTTACATGCGGATTAATATATACCTATTCGTTCGTTGCGAATACTTTAAATTTTCAATAATTTAAATTTGAATTGAAGTGAATACTCTATTCCTTTGAATATTATTATCCGAATACTCACACAAGCCTACCTTTTATTGCTACCAAAAACATCAAATAAACTTGCCACATCACTTAATTTTGGACAGTTCATCAATACGTCATAGTCACGCTTAAAGAAAAATGCGGGTGAGGGTTTCGAGGATCATAAAAATGACTTCGCAGACACCCTAGGGTCCGCGGACCCCCATCTGAGAACCACTGGTCTAAGATCCAGCGAGTTTCTTACTGGCCTGTGGTACAACGCATTTGCTGGCAAGCAAAGGTCAACATGTGGGATAATGTTGATGCATGTGTTGTGACCAACAAAACAATGTACGTTGTCCAGCTAACGGTTACGATGGTAGCTGACATAACTTCTTCTTCTGGCTGACTACTTGCTGTGCCCGCCACTGTGACCACCACCTGCTGTTCTTTGGAGCACTTTTGTACCAAGCTGCAGACTTGGAACGCCCAGTCCTGCATCGTTATCATGTCCCAAATGCTAGTATGGCCCCTAGTCAGGGTATGCGTCACCCGCTGGACACGCTGGCTTCGCCGCTGATTGCGAAATCACGAACCTATTCCTAACAAGCCGCCATATCTCGGGATCGATAAAACATGGTGCTTCACTGCCTGTTAAACTGCAATTGTAGCGCGTAAGCGGCCTTGTTAAAAGAGCTCATTTGAAAAATCAGCATGACGATGCATCAATAACCTTTTAGTTCAACTGTGATTTGCAAATTGCAATCAAAGGTGCCCTCAAGCAGCAGAAGATACAGAATACAGCCGTTCATCAGATACGTAAGCGTTATGATGCATACTGTTACTGAACCTGCACAACTCAAAAATAACTTAACACAGCTCAAAGGTCAGCGCCATGGTAGCTGTTCACTGTGATGGTGGTAATTATGGTAGCTGCCTATTCCGTTAGCACCAGTTGTGACGCATGTGAGAACTGAAACTGAACCTGAAAGGACGTCCAGCTATAATACCCTAAGGGTGAACAAATGCCTTCTTGAAGTCTGCTGGTCCTACAAGAAAAAGTGGCGGACAGGTACAAGGTCTCTGCTAGAGGCTATACTTACTGTGCATGGCTTTTTCTGGAAGTCATGAGCAGCAACTACAGTGGGAACTACAAGTCAACCATCAGCAGATGGGGACTAATGTTGCTGCACGATGCTCCCTTTGGAAGTCGTGTTGTATTTTGTAATGTACTGAATGTGGCTGTATTGAAGAAGCATGTACAGTAATTCAGGTACACATTGTTCATTTGTGGAAAAAAATATATATGTGGAGCCAAATCTCTAGCCATTCAAGCCAAGAAAAGGAAACAATAAATGTCCAGTTTTTTTTTTCAAATTTAATTGCAAATTTAATGTAGCGCATGTACTTCTGTTCATCAAAACTTTCATTGGATGCATCGTGCTTGTTCTTAACTTTGCATAGTTTGCTGTTGCACCACTGGCAGTTGTATACACTTTGAAAAATGTTTGGAACATTGGGTGTCACTAGAGCCAACGTTTCGACAAACAAACTTTTCTTCAAGTTGCAGCATTGAAAAAGACGTGTCCGCTTGTCGAAACATCGGCTCCAGCGACACTGCCAGGTGCTGAGGATTTTTACATGTCTTCAAGATTACATCTTCCCTTGACTTCCACTTAGTTGGGAAGTTATATACACACATGAAACTAAAAAAATAATGGACGGCCAGAGTGTGCCTAACTCCTTTTTACACTTGTCTTATCTTTGCGAACAGACTCGGAGGGGCCAGGTGGCATGGCTGAAGTAAAGCTGTTCGAGGCGAAGGAATTCACGGGCCTGACGGTTGCCAAGGGGAGCATTGGCATACTTCACCAGAAGATCATCACGGAAGTCACCACAGAGGCTGTGCGCAGCTGCATAGCTGAAGCTATGACTTCTCGTGTGGCACCCCTTCTGACCACTGTGCTCAAGGGTATCACTTACCCAGAATTCACTGGCATGCAGCCATAAAATAAATTTATGTGCTCTGGAAAAGTACCCAAGTGTGCAGTCTAAGCAGCCTAAGGTCACGAGTTGTCATCACACTAATGAGAAAATCGCACTGTAAAGTTAACACCAAAGTGTGAAATCTTCTGGTTGTAAAATTGCTTTCACACAAACACTGTATTCTAGTTCTGAAGAAATAACAATTTTATGAGTGTGCCCCCAATAAAACTAAAGCATACTTTGACTCTGCCTCTGTACGATGGAATTCTGTTGATATATATTGATTGATATGTGGGGGTTTAACGTCCCAAAACTACCATATGTATATGAGAGATGCCGTAGTAGAGGGCTTCGAAAATTTCGACCACCTGGGGTTCTTGAATGTGCACCCAAATCTGAGCACACGGGCCTACAGAATTTCCGCCTCCATTGAAAATGCAGCCGCCGCAGCCAGGATTCTAACCCGCGACCTGCGGAACAGCAGCCGAGTACCTTAGCCACTAGACAACCGCGGCGGGGCGGAATTCTGTTGCCGATTGTCAATGTGCAGTTGAGAAGGATATGCGAATATTTAAATTTTTTTTTTCAAATATTGTTATCTATTTGATTCAGTTAGCACTAGAATTTTACTATTCGAACTATCTGAACGTCTTGAAGACAAATATAGTCAACGACAAATTGGCAGTGGCCGCTTCAGATATTTATATGTTTTATACTCCATCACAACCTGGTATTGAGGCAAAGCTGTCTTTCAAGCTCTGCTAAGGCTTTAAATGTATTTACTGAAGACTACCTCGGTTCTAACATGCAGATGATGGATGTGGCAGAGATGGGGGTTTATAAAATGCTGTTTTGGACCTTAAATTTGGGCAGAAAATTTGAAAAATCGGATGCCAAACATTTCCAGCATCCAACATTTCAGATGTTTTTGTATATTGATGTATATGAGGCAAATGTGGAACGCCAGACCCGAAGGGTGCACAGCCTTGTTCGCCACATCATTTTGGCTTTCAGAGAAGTTGATATGAGGCGAGGCTCTGGAAATAGCATCTAAGAAAGTTGCGTTTCATGTGTGAAGTGTTGTTAACATCACTCTGGTTGCAATCAATCATGTAAACAAATACAATTCAGCCTCTGCATTGCCTCATTCTTGATAATACAACTATAAAACACCAACCTGTCAGTGATTCATCAACCTAGCCAAGAGAAACACGTTCATGTTGCTATCTCTTAAAAATATGTTTAAGAATCCTCTCCAACTTTTTTCTACAATTTCGCTTCAAGGTGTCTGAAAAATATTCTGGAAATATTAGAAAAATATTCTAATGATTAGCACTCTCACTCCCAACATTCAAATTCACTTTGCACCCAGAATTTTACTATTGGCACAGTTCTAGTGCTTTCATGGCTCTGTACCGAAAAGCTGATGTTACGTACGAGACTTGTACTAGCTGTAAAGCTGCTTCTAATTTAAGTCATCTTACGGAAGGCTCATGGTTCTGCCAAGCTCCTTACCTAGCAGATCAAGTGTCCCGACCCCAGCTCTCTCAAAAATACTCAGGTTTTTATTATTTCTCATAATCATATGGTGGTTTTGGGACGTTAAACCCCACAAATCGCAAATCAATCAGGTTTTTATTCAGAGAGGCCAACTTGTGATCTATGCCTACATTATTCATCTCTAAGTTAAAGTGGTTAACATGCTCCTGAAATGTGCTCCTTATTTTCCTTCATTTGATATTTATTTCTTGATTATGCTTTCTTTTTACATTAATGATTATGAGACTACGAGAGTATTGAGATCGTTAACAGATGTAACAGCAGCATTCAGCCCATGGGTGAAACAGGAGAGTTCAACCACTGAAAATTGCTGCAAGCCCAAATAATAAAACAGGTGCTGCCAATCAGTTTTATTAAACTTCATGTAGTCGCATATACTGAAGAAATGTCACAGGCTGCACAAAAAAAAAAAGCAATATGAATGTAATCGAAAAAATGTATAAAATTGAACATCATTGTCCAATATAAAAAAGAGGCTGCCACATTCACTTGTGAAAATTTCACCAGCTAGCAATACATGTGTCTAAAACTTAACTGGTAGTATAGCAGTAGAAGTATATCTATGTGAGCACACACAAAAGGTTTCAGTGGCACCAGAGCTTGTGAAAATTTTAGACTGAGCTTTTACTTGCGCAAAGAACGGAATCGAATGGTGGCAATAGAGAGCCATACTGCCTATTTTTTTGTTTTCAGCAAACATCTGCTGACTATGTCTGCCACACACACATTCTCTTTCCCACGCTAGTTCTTTGCCCTGTACGTACCTGTTGCTCAATCGGAACTTCTCACATAATCTGGTAACAGGAGCATTTCAGTGACAGTCATTCATAGGGCTGCTCGCCAGGAGAGCCCAATAAATATCTCTGCAGTCAAAGCAAAGCCTGTTTGCTCAGCAAACAGGTGGTTATAAACCTGACAAGCATTGAAGACACAGAAAACAAACACACACATACAATAAAGTTGCCACGCAGTAGACGCAAGTGTGTGAAGACCTGGCTGCATGCAGAAGCAAAAATCTTATAGCACAGCACCAGGGTCACACGTCTTGAAAACAGTTATGACTGCTTCCCCAGCCGACACACAAGGACGTATAAATATGGTTGCGATGTGGCCACGTGATAAGCAGCAAACGGAATTCCCTGCCAAATTTTCGTTTGAACAGCGTGCTTAGTTTGTGATACCTTCAAACAGTTGCCAACATTTCATTTTGTGAAACTTTACTCACCTTGCAAACACAATTGAGCTGCCTGCCACAGATCAGTGTCAGATTTAATTATACTGGCCAACAAACATATTCTCTTCTGATCTCATTATTTGGCAGTTTACATTGCCAAGCAAGCAAACTACTGCCACTTAATGGAAGATGGAAAGGTCCCAGCTCGTAAGTCGATGAAGTGGACATCGGAGCACAAAACAAATTGAAGAGCTCCAAGAGTATCTTAAAAGATGCTACAATCTGGACACTGCCGTGCACTGAGCCCACCGACACCTGATGAAATACAATTAGTACTTCGTCCTTATAACACCACACCGTGCAAAGTTTTTAAAACATTTGGCATCACCTAAGAAACGCTTTTGTAAAATTCCTGGGAAGTTCCATGGTATTTGGTGCATGATTTGACGTGTCGCCCGCAGTTTGGTCAGAATAAGAACGAATCGGCAGTGCTGCAATAAGTGTGTAGTAGAAACAACAGAAAAAAAGGAATGTGTGATCCCAGGAAACAAAAGAATACCAAGTAACAGATTATCATTATGGCCTATTAGCATGACACTAAATTGGGTACACGTGCGGTCATAAAAAGAATGTGCTAACTAAACATGACACTTAAAAAAAGTAAAGCTATATTCGTATTGCTGCCACAAATTGTGCCAGTAAGTTGTACCAAAAGTGAAGATACCCCAAAAATGCAACAAAAAGAGGGAATGTAAAATGAATGCATTGAAAATTGTGATCAATAAAAACCTTTAGACTCTACACAATTACTCACACCACTAAGACTTCAGAGCAAACTGTGACTAATTCATCCCAAAATGGGTTCATGTAACATTCATTACAAATGTAAAAAAATAATTGAAATATTGAAGTACAAAAGATATTGCTTTCGAGACTCGCAAAGCAGTAGTCCATGTCAAATTGATGCACAGTACAGTTCAAGGAACCAGCTTCAGCCGTGTATAAAATGCATGGGTGATTTGCCCAACAGAAGCATGAAGAGCCTCACATTCACTAGAAAGATTAGTTGCAAATGATGCACACCTAACGAAATTCTACAGAAAAGCCCACAAAACAAAAGTTCTTAGAGCACGCAAGCAATGAAATAAGAAGTGAACGAATTGAGGTAAACTGTTTCATCACTTCATGCACGCCTCCATGTTCATTAGGCCTTAAACTCGCACAGGAATAAATACTTAAAAAATGAAAATCCCAACTCCAGATAATATTTGCAATTGTCTCAACTTAGCGAACACAGTCTTAATGTATATCCCACATTATCATGCGAAGAAGCTGCCAGTGCTCCAGGAAAACCTCAACTTCACTTTAGTCGTCATGTGATGTGAAAACACCAAAACAAGGCTAAGAGTTGAATTAGCACAAAGTAGCAGATGTGCTCTGTCCAAACCAGTGAAACACTTGAAACATGGACTGTTGGACAGAAAACGGACCCCAAAAAGTGCCGCACTGCTGTGAACAACCTTAACTGTCTGAAAATGCTGATACTACGAATGCGCATGTCAAATATTCTTCTGCACATAGGAGGCAAGTCCCCAACCTTTAAAAAAAAAAAATACAGCACGACAAATCACAGAACACACAGAAGGGACACACGCAGCGCTGTGCACGTTTTCTTTCAGTATGTCATGTGATTTCTCACGCTGTTTTTCACTTGCGTACAACCAGCAAGCCCAGCTCTCTACAATTGCGCAAAACTTTTTTTTGTCTAGCCCTTTTCCAGCATTCCTGTTTTGTGCTGCTTATGACATCCGAGGCCTGCACAATGACCTAAATATAAAAGCTAATCGTTGAACCAGTCTTCATTGCCATGACTTGTTCATGAGCAGAGGCTCCCGCATGCACACGTGGCACTACTTCAACTTCAATGTTTGTTGTTCTAGGGTTCTTTACAAAATATGAGCTCTCAGTGGTTACTCTATTTACACCATGAAAAATGAAAAAGGCAAGAAATGAGCTACAAGCCAACCTAGCTGAGAGGAAACATAGCATTGAAAGAGAATAGGGAAGTAAACATTGCACTCTTCCACCTGTGTGTCACTGAGTCTCTAGTCAAAGTTTCTGCTGAAATATATACTCAGCAAAAAGGGTCGCACATACTTATATATACTTTTACGTTAATGAATTCTTGAACATTTTGTGTATTTTAACTTTTAAATGCATTTGACTTGCATTAGGAGGCTACAAAGCTTGCAGACAGTACACACAGTACGACGCAAACACTGATGAAGTAAAGGAAAGGCCCGTCACAGTGCATTTTGGCCAACGCTCTAGGCCCCCGTCTTGCTAAAATCTTTGGTAAGAAGCACAAGATGAACACAACTTGAGAACAGTCAGTGTTTATGGCTTCTAGCTTGAAATTTCAAGATTATAGACATGATTTTATGTCCAACTGCTTGAGTAAGTATGTCGTTTCTTTTCTTTGAAGTTTTACATTACATTTTGCTGTGGATAAGCGTGAGTAATGAACATGATTGGCTCATTACTTTACTGGCTGATTTAAGCAGCAAAGTAAAAAAGATGCATGTATAAATTGGATGACTTATGCACTGAGTAATGCTTCAATAAAAGACTGACACTTTTTGAAGAAGTTAGAACCTGCAGACCCTGCGAATAGATGCCTTCTCAAGGCTTCTCAGATGCAGGTAGTATTGCAGAATGCATGGTCTAGTTGAATGATTCCCAGAAAGCATAAACTACAACTAGTTGCGAAAATGAGCATACTTTGCTGAGGAGAAAGGAAAATGCCTCCGCAATGAGGTGAAGATGTTGCATCTCGATTAGGTAAATGGGAATGGGAAAATCTAAATATTGCTCAGTGTTTCGTGAAGGTCTAGAGTTTGTGGGTGATCATGATTCTTTATCTAGCTTTACCCTGCATCACGGGTATTATTAGGTCACTATATTATACCTTAGAAACAAGCTTTAGAAGAAGCCAAAATGAAAAGCTACAGCTTGGAGTAGCCAGTATTCCTGAGACTGTCACATTAGTGAGTGCTTAAAGTGATGCTTGTGAAGCTACCAGTTTACACATCTCAAGTGACCTATACACCACCACAAATCATTGTTTGTAAATGTAAACATGGGTATCGGCTCGGTTTAGGTGACTCCAGGGTACTTCAGCTGGTCTTTCTGACACAATTAATTTAGCTGCTGTAGTGTAAACAGGACAAGCTGCAAAACCTGAGCAATCATGCCACAGATAGTTTAACTCACTGCAAAAAATGCTTAAATAACCAGAGGAAATGTTAGAAGATGGCACAAAGCTCCCAAAGGTGGTGCTATGTACAAAGTTTCAAAAGACAGAAGTTACCCAGGGTTTGGTCAACTTTCGAAGCTGTAATGTATGGAGCACCTTCACACACAGTTAGCTAATGATTCTAAGGGTGTCCAACAACGCTGGAAAGTGTGGCGCTCATGAATCGTCAGAGTAGTGGTTAGACAAATATGAGAAACATTTGTAGAATGTAGAGAGAGTTAATGGAAGTCAATGTTACTTTGCAGCACTCTACGTTCGTTTAGCTTTAAGGAAGTTCACTTGACACAGCATTCAGGATGATGTCAGTGGCATAGTGTGAGGTGTTGTCTTAGCAAAACATCCGTCGTCATTTCAAAGACCTGTTACTTGCTCGATGCAAGGGCTGTTTGAAGAAGCTCCATGACAGCAGAATTGACGACCTCTGGATGTCGGCGGAACAGGTAGTGGCCTCCTTTCTTGAACAACATTACTTTCCTGGAGCCTGATGTTGACCCTGAGGCATAAGGAGTGGTAAGACATATGTCAACAAGATATTTAAACTACGAACTGAGGAATATTTGGATGTACTGATATGAGTTACCAAGTGTAAATTGCAGGTTGAGACATGCCAGCAAACAATGTAGGAGTGCAGTTTTCAAGATATAAGCAAAAGTGAACGCAAAATTCATTGAGAGCAATGTCATCAGTTCCAGTCAGGCCATAAGAATCCAAACCAAGTGAACACCATTTTGGATACATAATAATCAAGAACATTAAACTATGCATGAATAAAAAACTAAAACAAAAGAATATTGTGCAGTAAGAAGGCAGACTTGGACGGGAACTGCACTAGAAGTATTTTGATAAAACTACTGCTAGCACAAGTTGGCAAAATACAGCACTGAATGTGGATTGATTGCTATAAAATGCATGAAGTAACACAGATAAAATGAAAATTAATGATGAATCTTTTCTACCAACTTAAAGAATTCTGCAATGATTATCTAAAAAAAAACGTATGTTTCTATCTGGTTTAAAATCTCTCATGGGATGACCCCTCAAGACCAGTTTGTTTACCATTAATGCCCATCAGTTATAATTAGTACATCTGTTCACAGCTGCACTCTATTACTATATAGAAAATATGCCGTCTTATTGCTCATTTCAAGTATTTCAAAATAATATGTAGAGCTTATCGCTTATCAGAGATAATGATAAAAGCTCCGCAGAAGTGACATGTCTGAATGCATCACAGTCAGAATCAGTTATTTATCTCACATTACAAAATGTACACATTGGCTCAATTTTAATCATGCCGAATAAAAAATGACATGAGCCATGCCAAATAGGCTTTTAGTATGTTCTTGACATTCTTATCTGACAAAAGTATAAAGCACCCTGTAGACTTCACAGAACAACACCCCTGTTTTCAGAATGCATGTGCTATCACAAGGCTGCCACTGTCAGGATCAGAAAACCGTGTTCAGATTCTTGACCACTCAGAACAAGGGGAACAGTAAATAAATGAGAGCAACAGGTGAAAAAGGTATTACAGAAAACAGACATTAACCCAGAGAACAAATATTGCCAACAGAAGCAGTTTTGCTGCTCAAAAGAAGGCATGACATTTGTGGTGTACACATATCCGGAAGGATTACGGCCACTAACGTGGGTCCGGTCTTAGGGAGCCACAGGGTATGCATTAACCGTCGCCGTGGTAAGAACACGGTACTGCTCAAGGTCACAACACTTTATTTTCTGTAGCAACACTGAAACGCAGTACAGAGCCCGTTGCAAAGGCGCGGCGGGAAAGCAAATGGGCTTATCCACGCCACGAGCGAGAAGTACTACACAGGGTGCCGCAAGCACGTTTCCGTGGGTGAGTGTTTCACGGGGAAACCGGGACAAAGGGCCCGGTTGCTCGAGCGAAGGCAAAGGCGCTCGCGTTGGCTTCGGAGAGATACGAGTCGGCGTAGCCTGGCCTCGCACCAGGACACCGCACTGCTCTTCGGCCTAGCATTCGGAGGGGGGGGGGGCAGAAGGTAAGCATTCGCCGCGGACGCAAGGCAGTGTTGGCGAAGTCCGAACGAGCTCCAAACAAAAGGAGCCGGCGGACGGAAAAGAAATGTGTGCTTACCCCATGTTGTCCCATAGAAGTTCCCTGTCGATCCCGACGCACGCACGCGAACTGTCCCGGAGAGATTTTGCGCGCGGCACCACAGTCGACATCCGCCACCGGGCTAAAGGGGTTAAAACGTCACTCCCCGCTCTCCCAGCGCGACAGACCACGGAGGAGGGGAGTCATGTCGGGACATGAGAATGCAGAAAGATGCGGCAAAGCTCGCGCAAAGGCGGCGGGCTAGCCTCGATTCCCACACATTGTACAAACAATGAGAGACACCAATACACCCATTCCAAGTTTCTAAACACAGGTAGGCCGATGTCGACAATATGGGTAAAATTATAGCGACGTCCGCATGTAACTTCTGCCATTAGCGCTTAGGGATGCGATTTGCACCAACAAAACGACGTTGTGAGACGCCGTAAGCGTTGTGAAAGCCATAAGCGCTGAGGGCTGCGATGTGCGCCAACAAAACTAAGTTGTTAGACGCGACTCACATCCAACCGCAACGCAGCTCGTCGGCATACCGTTTTTTTTCCCTCGCTGCTTGACTGAGAACACCACATGCACCATTAAAAACCTAGCCGAAACAGCGGTAGGCAGAGCACCTTTGCCTACCAAGACAGTGCCACCTCATTTTCGTGACGTTAAGTCCGTTATAATTTGTCTATAAGGAAGAAAAAACACAGGCAACAGATGTTAGAAACATGCCAGAGTAGTAGCATTGTGCTGTGGTGCGAAAATTGGAATTAAGAATCACGGTGCGGCAACATATGAAGTCCAAGACCCATGCATCTGTAGATGCTCTGACTCCACATGGTGCAACCATGTTCAAGAGTTGTGCCCTGGAGCCCCTAATGAAATTGTAGCTTGATCAAGCCAAGCATAGGAAAAAGAAAGCTCCAGATATACACAAAAGCTAGCATAAGCATGCGGATATTCGCCAACTTTATATGTTACAGTGCAAGACCAAGTGATACAGGTATATTGACAAAGGTCCAGTGAATAGGCTTCTGCAAATAGTAAATTTTAGGCTTGAAGGGAATGATGATTTTGGTCAAATAATTTCAAACCGAATTCTAATAGTATATATAACATATTAAGAAAAATGGGCATAACAATCATGACCTAACAAACTTGCAGAATATTTTTAAACTGAAATAGAGCCTCCCTGCAAACTCTATTTTTTCATTCAAAGAAAGTCAAAACAACTTCGAGTAGTAGCAGGATTTGACTTTTGAGTGATGACCTGTAAAATATGTAACATTTTATTAAAATATATTATATATAGAGCATATAAGCCATTATAAGCTTTTAACCTTAATAAAATGATCAATCGATTTCAGAGCAATATGTTCATTTAAAAAGGCCTTGCAACACTTTTTGAAATAGCCATGGAATGAACTGAATAAGGAAGCTTATTGCCTCACAAATTCACCTCCTCAATAATTTTTAGAATTCATCCAGTACGAGCGGAGTTGCAAAGATTCGTTGCACGCTACAATTGCATTCTATTTTCCCGTCCCGACGAAAGCACTTGAAGCTAAGCAGGGAGAAATCGCAAGGGGAAAAAAATACGTTACGTGCACTTCACGATCTCTAGAGCATTTTCTTTCTTTTTGCTTTCTTCGAATACGCGGCTTTTCAGTGAGATTGCATGCATACGTGTGGACAAGTGGCGGCCCCAGTAACGACCGAGCCCACCATGCTCACATCAGCCCATGGTTGATACAATGGCTGTGAGGAGTTATTTTTGAACTTGTGGCATCATTGGCCGCTGCTGTGAAACCACCCATACAGGCAGCTACATGCAGACTAATTGTGGTATCGTGCGGCGGACACGACGCATGATACCAACGAAAAGGCCTACAGACGTGCGCGTCTCTCCTGAACTTCCTTCTCGACGCTCTCTTCGGCAATCATGAACGCAATTATCCCTCCGCCTCCGTTTCTTCAGTGCCCCAGTGACCGCCTATTCCATGGAGGCAGTGGTGTCCTGCGTTACAGGTCTACATCGACGCCGCTGCCAGGGACGCCAAGCCAGAGCACATAAAGGCGCTGCTCCTGAACGCCTTGGGCGTCGAGGGACTCAAGACCTACCTGCGAGCCGCCGAAGATGATTAGCAGCCGGGAGCCAACCAGGCAACTAAGGAGGCGACGCTGAGTGTGTACGACGCAGCTCTTGCACTGCTTAATGAGCTATTTGACCCGTAACCAGACACAGTGTGTTTGCGCGCCCAATTCAAGTCCCTGCGTCAGAGATCAGACCAGTCGGCGGTCGAATTTATTCAGGAAGTACGCAGAGTAGCCAAGCTTTGTGAATTCAACGCGACAAGCGATATCCTCGCTTTCGACCAGATCATCTCTGGCATCACGTCGCCGCACCTTCAAAGAACTTTTTTAAGGATGGGCAAGGACTTCTTCCTACAAAAGGCGCTCAACGTAGCTAGAAAGGAGGAGCGCGTCAACCCCGCATTGCTACAGTTATCAGGAGAACAAGTCGACGTTATGTCGTCGCGTTAGATGCAAGATGGCGGCTCAGCTTGCCGAACCATTCAAGATGGCAGGCCAAATGGTGGCCGTCCTTCCGAGGCTTTGCCGGCCGGCGCTTCAGAGCCATGCCCTGTGTCCGACGCATGATACTACACTAATATACACCTTTTCGTAACCTCCCTCTCCTTCCTCTCCTCGTCCCCTCCTTCTCCTATTCGTTCATTGCGAACACTTCGAGATTTACAATAATTTAAATTTGAATCAAAGCAAATTCAAATACTTCTCTATTCATTGGAACATTCGAAGTGTTCAAATGTTTGCGCTAGTCTACCAATGATACATACAGGTACATCAGCGACACGGAAGAGTTATCCTTTAAAACGTCAGAGACATACAAGTGTGTTATCAGCTAACAACCAGAAGACTGTAAAAGACGTATATGTATGTCTTTGCCTGTATGTTAAAAACACGAGTTTTTTTTCTGATCATTTCTCTAGCTTGGCGCATGATGCCACACTACGGAACGATCGGAAGAGCAACAGTGAAGAGAGAGTCCACCACTAAAGAAGTGCCAGCTTCGGAGTAGGCCAGAGAGTCATTCCCTAAAGCAAAGACCGAATTGGTTACAAAACAAACGGCCAAGTATTAAAATTAAAAACTAAACATGAAATGTGGCTGGAGAGTCGGTTTCTTCATATAATTTTTACTTTCACCAATGTCTCTGTTTTCTTCTTTGTTCTTTTTTTATGCTTTAGTTTCAATTTCCTTCTTCGGCTGGTTCTTGCTTGTTGTGCCTGCCAAATTGATGGCTTTCCAGTTCAGAACCTTTCAAAAGGTGACCGATTTGTTACTCTCTCCTTAATTGCTCCCCGATACACAATTACACCTATTTTCGTGCAGACATCGACTGACACATACAATGTCACTGTGGTTGTGCTTCCCATCTCGGGTACTCACAAAGAACACTTCTGTGTCACTGGCAATGAGGGGAGGGATTATTATTGGTTTCAAATTTGTTTTCACTTTCCAAATGTGCTGATAACTAAACAGTTGCTCCCCCACAATGTTTGCTTTCATTATGGTAATGCACCCTGGTTTATCTGCTGCAAGCTAGTCTAGCAGCTATCAAATTTTGATTCAGCAAATGTTAGCCCATCATACGAGGAGTTTCTAACGAGTTAAGACTCAAATGCTGATGACTGATCGACATCTCAAAACCGTGCGCGGTGAGATAATGCCGACTGAATAAAGGGTGGCTGTTCTTCCCCCCCTTGTTTCACTTAAGGCTACTGCTTGCATTTATTAATGTGATAGCACTAGAGAGCTCGTGTCGCGGAAATTCCACCGTCACTGTCGGCACCGTTGGTAGCCAGCGAAAAATCGTCTGCGAGCAAAACATCAAAAAACAAGCAAATAAAATAGAGAATAAAATTTTCGGTCTCCTTGAGGATCGATCCTGGGTCGTTCGCGTGGCAAGCAGGTGCCCTACCACAAAGCTATGATGTTACGTGCAGCTGCTTCGGAAAAAAACCTACATAAATGCCATGTAGTGGAAGGAGTCTCCTTAACGCATTTTTTTTTACAGGTTTCACGACAAAAACGAGCCAATTCAGCGATTTGTAGGCGCATTTTGGAGGCCATCAAACTATGTTGACAAAGGCCGGGATAGTGCAGCCACCACCACTAAAAACATACAGGAACTTTCAAACAGCTCTAAAAATGGTCAATTATGCCCATCTAGTGGAAAACATATCATGCCTTTCCAGAGTGGTTGATCAAGCAAACAGTAAACACTAGATAAAATGCTGCAATGTGTGAGGCACTGTGAGACTCTTTATGGCGTCCGAGATGGCGAGGCGCGTCGTGTATCTCGGAGGCCATGTGACTCTTGCTTTAGAACAAAAACCTGTATGTACCATTCGCGCATGCACGTGTGTGTGTCTGTGTGCCATCTGTGAGACATTGGGCCAAATTTCGCTATCACGTTCAACTCCTAACGGCAAAGCTTAAGGCTCCCCCAATTTTTTTGTACATCTGTGAACTACAAAGACATTTATTTCAAGCTGTAATTTTTAACAGTCGTGTAAGTTTTTTTTTTCATAGAATTTATCCTGTTCTTACTCTTGAATAAACCACATGCATGTAACAACACTAAAGATTTTTCGTGACTTGGTGGTCACCCCAAAAAGTTTTCAACAATTATTTTCTGAAATAGATTCATCTGAAATATTTCAGTCAGCAATAATAAAAAATACACAATTATAAAATGCATTTCGCAAAAAAAAAAAAACGACCCTCAAAAGATTAAGTACTGCCGGTCAACTTGACTCATGGTACTAGCACAAGACTGGGCTGTAGATATTTCTTTGTCGGAGCAATTATACATGTACTTGCCTTTTCTGACCAACTTTCCATCGGCATCGTAGAGCCACAGATCTTGGTTGCGTGTGCCAATAAGGTCCACCATGTTGAAGATCACTTCTGGGTTGATGGCTCGATCATTCTCACTGAATGCTATAAGCAGAGGTATCCCACTGTTTGCAACTTGCTTGATCTTGTCCCCTGCCTGAAGAAAACAACATGATTTACAACCCCGAAAATTCCCGTCATCGACAGTAAGCTCGCCCATCTCCTGGAAGCTCATAATAACATTACGCAAAGGTGGAAAACTCAAAAGCACAACCATTGAATAAAAATCAAACTCGCGCAACTTCAAGTGCAAATAGTTACCGGATTTACTCGCGTAATTCAGGCACTTGCATAATTCTCGCACTCCCCGCATTGCCCAGCAAAAATACATATTTTATTTCTCAATTATTGCACCTCCAAAATTGCAGCAGTTATGTTGCATTGCTTCAGACCACCGATTATTATATTATAGCGCACGACACCCTGGCACCATCTCTTAAGCATCATGCATAGTATCTATGCATGAGCCACAATCTAAGCCAAGCCAAAATCGCAAGTGGCGATACGGAATTTACACGGCTGCTTTCAAGTGATTGATTAGGCACTAAACACTGGCAACAGGGCTGCCGGGAGGCACTTCGGATTCGAGTTTTGTGTTCACTACTGGCGATGGCAGTACGAGCAGCTGAAAGCCATCAAGAGAGGCGTTGGGCCTTCCGTATGCATAAGACTGGGATAGAAAGTAAAACTTTATTTCGTCTGAAGGCAACTGCGGACAATTCCATGTTAGGGAGCCATCAGCCTAAAGTTCACGTGGTATGCTAACTTTTTGTGGGCTCCCATTGAGTAACAAGTGCTAAAGTTACACTCGCGAGCTTTGCGTATGGTATTTCTCTACTATTTGCTAGTGGTTTTCTGCCTTATTTATGTGGACAACTTTCAGTTTTGGTTTTTGGGCGCCGTATCGAGCAGACGTAACAGTGTAGGCGGCTTGTTCACGTGACCACGAAAGGCTGCGACACACGTCGTGCTGTGTATTGTCTGCTCTCGCACATATACGCCACACAAGCACCAGCAAAACAAATGCAAAGACAGTTGCCTTAGCCAGCTGCAGAAGCTGCAAGTGAGATCGTAACCGCTGCTTTGCCAGTACGTACGTTACGGAGGTAGTGAAGCTACGGAGGTCAATTACGTCACTACAAAGATTGTGTGACGTCACTACAACTTTAATTGCTTTAATTTAATTTAAATGTCAGTTTTGGGGTGCTAGCAATGGGTCATCATTGAGAAAATGAGCACGTACATACACTTTCGAAGTGATTAAAATATATTCTGAACGTTTGCTGCATCTGACCCTTCGTATGAAGTGTCCTTGCATACAAAAGAAACCCACAACAGGCTTGTTACAGCCTCGAAAGTTGATGGAACTACCCCTTTTAGATTATTATTGTGATGGGGCTGTTTAGAAATAGTGCAGTTCATGCTTTGCGATGCCTATCTGGAATAACATTGCCATAGACGATGGCTCCAAAGGCGAAATATTTTAAAGGCCCTTCTCTGCGCTTTCTAAAATAATAGAAACCTTCTTGCAGGACACCGTGGAGTCACAGATAACCTTTATGCCAGAAATTGTGGTCACAGTATGCACTAACTAGCGGATATAAGATGATCCACTGTGACAGCGATATCTATATCAGACTCTACACAATCTCAGTTAGAGATTCATTGCATTTACATTTTAACCGTAATAGATTTAAAACGAGCATTTATTGGTGATGTTTTACAGTAGATATAAGAATGCATAAAACTCGTAATTCACTATTTATCTGATTATCCAAATTTGTGCAAATATTCACCTTTAGCCGCACATGCAGTAGCAGCCAAATATTCGTAAAAATGCAAATATGCAGTTTTTAATTGAATATGCTTCAACTAAAGAGTGTTCAGTTTGAATTTGAAATTTCAAATATTTTGCATATTTCTAGGTGTTATAAATTTAGGTATAAAAGACTATTGCTGATGTGAAAGTTTACCACCTTTTGTGGACATTTTTAAAGAGGCGTGAAGGGCAAGTTTTCTGTGGAAGTGGCATAGACTGCGAAGTTTTACAATAATCCAGTTTATATTCCAAGATGCATTCACGTTTGATGAAAACATGCTCACGAAATACATATAAAGGTGCAGTACACAGTGCTCAACGTAAATGTCTGCCCCAGAGGTCGGCAAAACTTGTGGAGCTAACTCCGACTCACTCATTAAACATATTTTGCACTTTCGACTCACTCGGACTCACACTCACCAAAATTTTCCTGAGACGGACTTACACTCATGAAACTTTTCTTCAACCGAACTCACTCGCACTCAAACTCACACAAACATTACTCATCTGAACTCATTCAGACTCAGCCTCATGGCTTTGTCTGAGCGTGAGCGAGTCCAAGTGAGTCGACTCACAACTCTGTCAACATTGAATTAACTCTTTTAAACCTAGTGTTCATGCTCTTTAACACCAATATGTCATGTAATCTGTGCTCTTTTTGGCGCCGACTTATATAGTAGCTTCGATTACGAGTGAGTTATGAGTAAGGTCATTATTCTTAGAATAGATGATGACATAAGATATATTTATCAAGAACTTACCCGGAATAGTTGGCGAGGGGCAGATCAAAACACCCCTCTACTTAATTTGCACCTCTGATCAATAAATATTGAAATGCAGTACAAAGAACACTGCTTTGGAATGTGTGGGGGTAGTAGGAGTCTAGGTAAAGCTCATAGTAATGCTGAAGGGTATATAGATAGGACCATAGGTCGGCAAAAGAAAATGGGACTCACTCAGCCTCACTCAAGAAATGTATCTCAAATATGGACTCACTCGGACTCAGACTCACCAAAATTTTTCTGGCGCGAATTCACTCAGCCTCAGACTTACAGCTCCATCTGAGTCTGAGAGAGTCCGAGTGAGTCGACTTGTGAGTGAGTTCGCAGACCTACGGTCTGCCCATTAGGTACACCATACGATGGCCGTGAAACCGTAATCCTGTCGAATAACAAGTTTACTGTTGGACTACACGACTTTTCTCGGAGAATTGCGCTCAACTGCTACGTTTGGAAATGCAAGTGACTGCCATGTCGCAGCAATGCTTACAACGATGAAGCACAAAGCATGAATGCCGATTTCCTTGCACAAAGGGCGACTAAATCTAGAAAAGCTCGGACGACACCACAAGCAGGAGTAGGAGCGTAATAAAACACACACACACACCTCTTCATAGTCGGAAAAGATCATAGTTTGCAGCGACATAATGGCGTCTTCAATGTTAGGCTTGATGGGATTCCTTGTGTACTTCATTATGGCAATGCCCAAGTGTCTCATGAAGCCTTGATATCGTGGATTCGTGTAGTGCACTGCAAAAGCCCGCATCAGGGGTAGTGGCCTGATTGCCCTGCAATTGGAAACAATAAGAGATGAATATGTGTAGAAATCATAAGGTTGAACAGAACTGTGTTTGTTACCGTGTTATGATTTTCATACAAGTCAAATGAAAGATTTCATACTCTACTTAGACATGAGAGTAACACTCGCTCAATTTCACAAAATATTGTAGTGGATCATAGCAACGGGGTGACCGGCACGTGAGGGGTAGACCGGGGGAAGAGAAAGACAAAGACAGTGTGCGTGTTGGATTGTGTTTGAGTGAGTGGCTCTTGTACCTTACATTTGGTGACAACATTAACCCATGTTTACAAGGAGTAAGGCTGCTGCGATAACAGCAACAGTTGGCACTTCACAGATGTACCCTACGGAAGACGACACGTCGTCGACGCCCTGGAACCTCCTGTCCCGACTACGCAGGAAAGCTTGGCACAGGCTGCGGGAGCCCCAATCTCATTTATGTATTAAATACGGAATTATGGAAATCCCGCCACCAGCACCCCATCAGCCTCTTTTGTCGGAGTTTGATGTCCAGGATATGCCAAGTCACCCTCAACTGTCAAGCGTTGGTGCCAGTCTACCTATACCTGACTGTTTGCAAGCCCTTGTTTCACAAGGTGAGGTGGACAGACGAGCCCTTATGCAAGATTTCAAAACTCTCTTCTCTACCTGCTTGCTCTCTCTTGAGACCACTCTCGCCCAACGTGCGCCGACGACGAATGTCGCCGCCGACCTAGCTGCACGGCTCTGTGTCATTGAGGAGCAGTCTGGCCTTCAGCAGCGTGTGTCTACTCGCGGTCGAACGAAATGTTCCTCTGCCAGCTCAGTCTCGGTTTTTCGGAGGACAACTTCTACCGCCTACTTTTGATGGCACCACTTCGTGGGCAGCATTTTTGGTGAAGTTCGAGTCCGTTGCTGCCCTAAACGGCTGGACAGTTCAAAATAAAGCTCACGCGCTCGTTGTGCAGCTCCATGGCGCCGTGGTTTAATACCTCGAGTACATCCCGCAAGTTGTCTGCTCGAACTATGAAGCTCTGGTCTCAATGCTGGAAACCAGATTTGGCGACAGTCATCTTCTTCAGCTCTACTTCACACAACTGAAACACGCCCGGCAAGGTCACCGCGACCTTCAAGAGCTCGCTGCTCACGTCGACAGCTTCTCCCAGAAAGCCTTGTCGGGTTGCCCTACCACAACCATGGACCTTATTGCTGCTAATGCCTTCGTCAATGCCATCAATAACAGAAGCGTCCAGCACTTCGTCTGCCTCGCTCGTCCGACTGACGTACGATCAGCTTTAGCTGTCGCCCTTGAGGCGGAGATACAAGAACGCTCGCAAGCAGCTGAGGATCCATACCGGAGGCCAACTTACACGAACGCACTTTTCCGGACCCGGCATTTGGCTCCTACTAGGCTTCACGATCCTACAGCGGTACTGCGGTGCTACCACTGCCACGATGTTGGGCATTTTGCTCGGAACTGCCCTTGGGTGACCGAGTCACTGACAAACTCAGCTTCTCCTATGCAGTCTTCCTCAGAAAACTACAATGCGGGCCATCGAGGGCAGGACCTCGCATGATGGCTGAAGCCCCTCTTCTTTCACTTGGCCCACTTGGCCCTTTCACCGAGATGCCAACTCTGCCGGTGAAGCTTGGAGATTCGCCGCAGCACGTTGAAGCGCTAGCGGACACAGGAGCTGCATTCAGTTTTTTTTTGCGATGAGTTTCTTGTCTGGAAGATTTTCGGCGAGTTCTGAGCAGGTCGATCGACCCCATGTCGTCCTAGCTGATGGAGCCACTCTATCTACTCTTGGCGAAGTCTGCCTGAATGTGTGTGCGCTTGAGAAGACGCGAGACAGCGGTTCCTTGTTGTCCCAAACCTGTGTGTGCCAGTGATCGAAGGCTGTGGTTGGTGCGCAGAGTTTGGCATTAGTTTGCAGTTTAACGGCACTGATTGCACCATTGAACTGACATCTACCGCTTCGACACTAATTCGAGCAAGAGTTGAAACTTCCAATAAAGCTTGCTCTAGGCAGTCATATTTCCCGTTGAGTTATGTCATTTACAGAACTGTTGACAAAGGGTGCTCCGTGCTCGCTGACAACTATCGCATGATGAAAAGTCTGATTATTAAATTTTTTTCGAAAGTCGGCATTCTAACAACGGGCACGAATACGGCCGTGGGTACAAACAGAAGTGAACAAGCTGAAATTGGAAAACCATCCCCGCTTTTCAATCCTATGATTACGGCAACCTCAGCTACAATCCCCTTGTCGTCTGCTGCGTGGGTTCCTGCTCACAGCCAAGACAAGTCCTTCGTTGACAAGGTTGTGGAAAGTACTGTTTGTTCCCGGCCTGGAGGTGAATTCGCAATGCTGCGGGCCTTTATTCGCTGTTCAGGCAAAACCTTTGCAGTGCTTGTCTTCAACCTGTCCAACAGTATCCTGTGCATGCTGTCAGGCACCATTCTCGGTACCTGTACCTACACTAAAGCACAGTTTGTCATAGCAGTAGTACAGCCCGTAGAACCTTCTCCCCCAACTGCATTGCCCTTAGACTGGAATGAATTCAACTTCAGCCCCAACTTGACTCAGTCACAGAAAGCTGAGATTTAAACACTTCTACGCAAATTCTCTGGCTGCGTGGCAATGTCACCCAGTGAGCTCGGCCACACTCCTTTGGTGCAGCACAGAATCGACACCGGCTCTGAGGTTCCTGTTCAGCATTTACAGCGTCAAGTCTCTGCCTCTGAACGCGCAGAAATCGCTAAGCAAGTGGATGACATGCTTAAGCGTGGTATCACATCGCACTCGTCAAGTCCGTGGTCGTCGCCCGTAGTTCTTGTGAGAAAGACGGCACAATCCGTTTCTGTGTTGACCATCGACGGCTAAACAGTGTCACCGAGCCTGACGTGTATCCACTTCCTCGTCTTGACAATGCCCTTGACTGCCTGCATGGTACCCGTTTTTTCACTACACTGGATCTTCTTCCTGGCTATTGGCAGGCAGAACTAGACCCGAATGACGCTGAGAAGACCGCCTTTATAACTCTGGATGGCCTATACCAGTTTAACCACCTGCCATTTGGTCTCTCCAACACTCCTGCTATATTTCAGCGATTAATGGACCGGGTTCTTGGGCATCTCAAGTGGTCGATGGCTTTGGTCCGTTTAGACGACATAATTGTCTATACTTCCACGTTTCCTGAACACCTCAGGCGTTTGGAAATGGTCTAGCGTGCTCTCCAAGACGCTCACATTTGCATTAAACCTTCCAAGTGCTTTTTTGGCTCTTCAGAAGTTAGTTACTTGGGCCACGTAGTCAGTGCCAACGGCATCAGCCCTGATCCCCCGAAGCTCCAAGCCATTGCCTGTATTCCGCCTCCTACCACGGCTAAGCAGCTTAAAAGATTCTTGGGCTTCGCTTCATATTTCAGACGCTTTGTCCCTGACTTCGCTTCTAGCGCGGTACCTCTCAACGAGCTACTGAAAAAGAAGTTCGCTGGGAATGGGGACCCGACCAAGAAGCTGCCTTCCGCGATTTCAAGACTGCCCTTTAAGCACCACCGACGCTCGCGCACTATGACGAAAATGCCCCGACGATTCTACACACTGATGCCAGTGGTCTTGGCCTTGGAGCTATTCTCTTGCAAGTTAACGAGGACGGGCTGGAGAGACCGTTCGCTTATGCTAGAAGCCGGCTCAGTGAACCAGAGAGCCGATACCACGCCTCTGAACTTGTGTACTTGGCAGTAGTTTGGGCAGTCGAAAACTTTCATCCGTACATTTATGGTGAAAGCTTTACGGTCGACAACTTCACCGACAACGTCGCCCTTCGCTGGCTTCAAACAAAAAAAAGACCTCAATGTTAAGTTCACTAGGTGGGCTCTCAAACTGCAAGATTACAACTTTTCTATTGTCCATTGCAGCGGCGCTCGCCATCAAGACGCTGACTACCTCCCTCACCACCCGACAGCTTTCAGCGACATCTCCCCAGTTACTGCAGTGCTTGATTTACGAACTACACAGCTCCAAGACGCAGAAGTTGTTGATATAACCCGACGACTATTCGGGGAAGTACGCACTCCCAAGCGTCGTCGTGAAAGTCTTTGTGCGTCGTATGTCGTCTGAGAGAGAATTCTTTATCACCGAAATTATCGGGATGGGTTGTGCGTGCCTGTTGTGCCAGTAGCCATGCGACAATCAGTGCTATTCTTGTGCCACGACACTGCGACTGCCGGTCACCTCGGGCTGCACAAGACACTGGCACGCATCAAAGAGAGGTTTTGGTGGCGGCGCACGCACAGTGACATTTCCTGCTACATTTTGTCGTGCACAGTCTGTCAAGCACGGAAGGCCACCACAGATCCGCAACCGGTCCCTATGCAACCCAACCCTCCTCCGGGAACACTTTTTGAGATTGTGGTACTTGATCATATGGGACCGTTTCCATGTACGTCGCGCAGCAACAAGGTCCTCATGCCACGGACTATTTCTCAAAGTGGACCGAAGTCAGGGCCGCCCCTGACTCTTCGACACTGCACGTACTCCCATTCATCAATGTGTGCGTCATTTTTCGACATGGCATGCCACGCTTGCTCATCACCGATCGTGACACGGCCTTCACGTTCTGCATATTCAGAAACCTACTGAACGACCATGGAATTCGGCATGCCGCGGCCACTCCTCAGCACCCACAAACAAACGGTCTAGTGGAACATACAAACCGTACCATAAAGGACATACTGTCGTTATACGTGAGTCCCAGTCATAACAACTGGGACGAACACGTCGCCGCAGCTGTCTTCGCCCACAATACATCACGGCAGGAAATCGCAAGGGAGTCACCGTTCAAGCTTGTTTATGGAAGGACGCCAAGGCTTCTGCAAGAGAGCTTCTTTGGTTTGAACACAACAACACGAAACCGTCTGGATGATACTAGTACTTCGGAGCTTCTTCGGAAGGCTCGCTTTAGAGCGCATCTGGCCATAGCGCATCGTCAGGCCAAATTCCGCTCGCCTTCCAGTGAGAACCCCAGCCCTTTCAAACCAGGAGACTTAGTGCTGGTTTGATGCACCCAGCGTGTTCCACAGCATTGTCATAAGTCTTTTCCCAGATATGCGGGCCCATTTAGCGTAGTGAAAGCCCTAGGCCCTGTTGCTAACCTCCTTGTCCTTCCTCATTTATTCCTCCTTCCTTCCTTCCTAGGCCCTGTTACATTCCACTTGGAAGTTACTCCCGAACTGAGCACCAAAAGCAGAAACCGTGTTTTTCCCGCCCATGCAAGCCAGTTGAAACATTATGTGTCGCATGATTTCTGTATTCACGCCATTTCGTCTTCTGGCTCAGACTCCAGGGGATAGGGGGCGGCGAATGTAGTGGATTATAGCAACGGGGTGACCGGCACGTGAGGGGTAGACCGGGGAAAGAGAACGACGAAGACAGTGTTGTGTTAGATTGTGTTCGAGTGAGTGGCTTTTGTACGTTACAATATATCTCGAAGTATGTGAAAATTTCCAGTGAACCTTCATAGTCATTGCCATTGTGACGTTTTGCATATATATGTGATGAGAGAAAGTGGCCTGCATGCTGTATGCTGTCGATGCGGTAAAAAGCCTGCAGAGGTGGGCCAAGAAATATTGTAGCTCGATGTAAACAGCCTTCCGTATGAAAAATCTTTAGAAGGAACACGATGACGTCCTCCTCTAGCCCAGCCATAACTGCACATGCATGCCCAAGTAGCCGAATGAAGATATGGCCTGCTTGTTGCATCTTTGGGTTATTACACATCGGTTGCAAAGCCTAAGGTCGGTCAAGATGGCTGGTGGCTTAGCTCATGCGTGGGGTCTCCCGTGTGACTGTTTTCGGAGGCTGCATAATCAAAGTTTCAGAGAGATGTTCATGCAAGTGGGATCACAAAGCAATAGGTCTGAAACTCTTTACACCATCACTGGGACAGTGAGAGCTTACGGTCAGTTAGCTACAAAGTACCGTATTTACACGATTGTAAGACGACTCGAATGTAAGACGACCCCCCCAAAATCGCATCTCAAAAAAAAAAAAGAACGTGCGCATTTTACACAAGGGAAATTTATTCACGTGGTTGCGGAGGATTATTCATCGTCGCTGGAGTCGTCCTCGCTGGTGCTGCTGCCGTCATTGCTGCTGCAGTCCCACAGCACGTCGTCGTCAAGTGTGAGTCCACACTTCGCGAACGACCGCACCACGGCATCGCGTGGGACAGCCGCCCATGCGGAGAGGACCCACCCGCACACAGTAGCCAGGGAGGCTCTCCTCACCCGCCCGCTTGGCGTAAGTTCGCGGCTTCCTGACGAAATCCACTCGTTGTATTCGCGGCGCAGGAGGTCTTTAAAAGGCTTGTTGACCCCCACGTCGAGAGGCTGAAGCTGCCCCGTCAAGCCACCGGGAATGACGAGCATGTCGGTATGCTCCTTCTGGAGCACCGCTTTTACCTTGGCGGTAAGGTGGCCTCTGAGTGAGTCCAACACTAGCATGTTGGGGATGTCCTTCTTGAGGGATGCCCCCGGCCTCAGGAGCCACACGAGACGGTACCACTCCACGACCATGTCGTCCGTCATGAAGCCCTTTTCATTCACCCGTACCACCACGCCTTTGGGAAGTGCCTCCTTAGGCATCGTCTTCCGTTTGAAGACGATGTACGGGCGGAGTTTGGTGCCATCAGCCAAGCACGACAACATTACAGTGAAACGGAGCTTTTCGTTGCCCGTTGTAAGTAGGTTTACATTGCGTGCACCCTTCACGTTCACTGTCGTGTTGCTTGTCATGTCAAAGTAGACGGGCATTTGGTCGGCATTGCCGATTTGGCCAAGCAAGTAAAGTCGGGTGTCGCGGAGTTTGAGGAAGTGCCCATGGAAGGTGAGGACTTTCTCCTCGTATGCGGCCGGCAACTTCTGGCACACGCTGGTGCGGCGACGTAGAGAAAAACCAGCCCTCTTCATAAATTTAGACGCCCAGGCCCTACTAGCTTTGAATTGAGACCTTGGTATCCCTGCCTGAACAGCGTAGACACGGGCTTGCTGCGTGACCATTTCGCAGGTGACCAACAACGATCGATCGCGTAGGTCAGTCACGTAGGCCGCAAGCTTCGCCTCTAGTTCCGAAAAGCGGCCAGACTTCGGCCCGCGAAAGCCACGGCGCTTGGAGTCGCACGAGAAAATTTCCTCGCGCTGAAGCTGCCACTTCCGCACCACACATTCACCGATTCCGAACTTCCGTCCTGCTGCACAGTTGTTGGTTTCCTCCGCATGAAGAATAGCAGCCCGCTTAAACGCTGCCGTAAACGAGCGCCGAGTGTTCATCGAGCCTACGGCACTCATGTCAGACAGAAGTGACTCGAGAGAGCCGGTCGTGGACACAAGCGACAGGAGTACGCGGCGACGCGCCCGCTTAGAAAATTGTATCACAAAGAGGAGCTCTTCCGTCAACCACCAATGCCCCCCTACGGCGGCTCTTCCATCGATTACCGGTGCTCCCTCAAGAGCCGTGCGCTCGTCATAAAGGCACTCGTAATGCGCGCAGTAGATGCTAAAAAAAGAAAAGCTTTTGTATAAGCACGCGGAAAACTATGCGCTTTGGGTTGAGCGGAAAACTATTCGAGATGACAATACATGGTTCGATTTCGATTCTAAGGTACATGGTTCGATTTCGATTCTAAGACGACCCCCCAACATTGGATTGTCAAATTTGAAAAAAAAAAGGGTCGTCTTACAATCGTGTAAATACGGTATGTTATGCTCGATCGTAAATTTTCGTACTTGCGATTCAGCATGAAGTACTTTGAAACATTGTGTGCCACGGCTACGCGCATCGTGGCTGAGCTTACTGATCGGAATTGCGGCTATGCCTAACTCCGCTCATCATCTTGCGAAGATCTTCATCACAAGGTCCGAAGTGCTGCAGAACAGTCACTCTGCGATGCTTGCGATGAGCGTGGCGCACTATTCTCATCTAATCATTCAATTTTCACTTGAAGCTGCCAAACCGAAGTGTAGTTATGTTCTAAATGATGGTCGACCAATGAACACATGAGTGCAAATGCATCACTAAGTAGCACGAATTTAGACAGCAGTGACTTCGCGATGCAAAAGCAGCAAATGACGCTCTCCCGAAGTAAAGACCAGACCAAAGGTGAGGTGAGCTGAAGCAACCTGGTGGATGCAGCCAATCAGAGACTCCGAAACAAACTTTGAACAATTGCTTTATCTGCACTTGTTTCTATAAGGAGGAGCCAGCTGAAGCGGGAAATTTCAAGAAAAAAAAAAAGCTCTTTCAGACAAGCCCAATATGGCAACGAACAGTTGCAGAGCTATTATTTTGTTAACACTGTTTTTTTTTTTTTCCGATGTCTCCCCAATAATTTTCGCCACCTCTGCAAGCACAGCATGTTTTTTATCACACTTCTACATAGGTTTTTAAGAAAATTTGGAATCAAAGAAAGGAATATAGAAACTGAAAATTTGATTTTCGAAAGATAAACTTTTGAAAATTTTTGCAATAGCCATGTTTGTGATTTGTAATTGCCTCTATCTCATAAGAATGTTCGAACAGATTCTCTGCAACTTTTTTCCATTTTTTCACAGCTAGTAATTTGAAAAATATGCCTGAAATATTAAAAATTAACCGATTTCATTCGCACTCAAGCTTTATTATTCCAATTTGCTTTGCTCCCAATATGTGCATCATTCACACAACTCTACAAAAAACCACCAGGCCTGCACGGAATGCGTACCATAGTCCCAGTGAAAACTGGAAGGGCAGATTTTCTGGAGCCATTTTTAAACATTCTTTTTGGGTAACTGCTACAAGTACACTTGCAGGGCACCCACTATGCATAAACCATTATAATTTTTTTGTAGTTGAGAAGCATTCACCATGTCATTTTTTCATCATTGTTTGGAGAAGTGAGGTGCCCGGAAAAGCTGGAACAAAGAAAGCGAATAAATTTGGGTGGGGATGAGAATCAGACCCATGCCTTTTGGTTGTGAGGCAGAAGGCTTCCCACATTTCTCGATGGCTTAGGGACTCGGGCTGAATAGAGGAGGGCCTACTATGCAAGCGAGCAAGCGATTAAGTGCTTTAATATCTGCTGCTAATATCACTGCTCCTAGAATCTTCTGTGAGCCGTGAAAACTGTATTTATCAGTGGTAGGGCAAGGTGGCACCCTCCTTACATGAAGGTGACGTGAATGGGGCCCACCAACTTTATGCATACCACTATTAAAAGGAAAGCTTCAGAATCCTGTAATATTTCCTTATAAATATTAAAGCTAGATTGAACAGCAAGGTAACCACAAAGGGCCAGAGCTTGCACACTGTGCTTTTTCAGTTCGTATGTCCCTTCTCTGGCAATTTCCTCATCAACTTTTTCAAGTTAGTCTTTCATTGCGCAAAAAGAAAATGCATTTGTGTTGGGGACAAAGAAAACACAACATACCTGACCAGCTGGTGTCCTGCTGGTGCCAGTAGCGCCACTGCTTTCACTTGAGGCATGCCTGGCCTGGTCATGACATTTAAGGTTGGGTAGATGGCACTGCTGTGAGCCACCAGCATGTCAACCCTAAGCAGAAAAGCAAGGTCCTATGCAATGGAAATCACTGCTCCTGGTCAAAGACAAATGTATTTGCTTTTGTCAAGGGGTTCTATTACATCGAAGGCACTATTGTATAGTACACTTAAGGGGGCAGCTGGAATTGCTTCTAACACCAAATTGACTACATTATCAAACTGCTGATCTGATTCTTCATTGCCACTTCCCTGCACACACAAGTGGCCTTCAGTGGTTCTAAATTTCCAGGTACCATTGCTTTGAGACACTGTAGTTGTGGTTTCACAATTCCACACACCTAAATCACAGCTTTATAATTCTGCTTTTCAAGCACGATTTAACATTCACATTTCATATTCACCATTCATTCATTTTTATCATATGAATTAGCTATCCAACTACCATTTATCAGTTTTTCACCTTCATATTATGCCTACTTCCTCTAACAGTGGTATCTAGCTCTTACTAACGTGAAAACTATGAAAAGCTCACTGCTGGGTTTGATCCTTATACAATTTTCAAAACAGGACTTTACCAGCCTGAGGCAATGACTATGCTAAGCAGCTTTGTAGATAGTTACACAAAACCTTCACGTAACTTTACAACTGTAACCACACAGTTGAACAAATATTTGCACAAGAGCTGCTTAAGATTAGTAAGGATTCGCCAATATTTGAGCTGTAAAAAATTTTTGAATTGTAATTGACGATTTTATTTGCACCAGACTTTGACTATTCGACGTATCCATGGTTTCAGATGATAAATACAGCCAATGTCAGATTTTTAGGGCTACCTAGAGACTCTGAAACTGTCTGAAAAATCGGGCAGTCCAAAAAAATCATTTCATAATCTTTCATTTCACTAAGTGATCAAGTTGCCACAGCAACATCTGAAACAGCTTTACTACCACCACTAAACTTGTCAGACATTTTGGTGCACGCCCAGGCTCTCGTGAATGCATTCGGTACCTGCCGCAAACATCTCTTACCCATGTGCCAACCGCCCATCGAAAACTTGTGTCTTGCGAAGAGTGCCGCTGACACTAGCAAAGCGTGGAATAGATGCTGGTTCTTTCACATAGGGCATTTGGAAATGTTGACGAAAAACACAATGACTGTGGCGGGACCGTTCGCCTTTCTCCAATGCGTGTGCGCACATAAACGATGAGCACATAAATGTTGCGCACACACATTACCAAATCTCCGCCGATATACAGCACTTGCTGCCACATGAAACCGACCATTGCTAATTGTTTTAAAGCACACAGCCAACTAAGCTGACGCCGTCACAGCCAGTGTGCTTGATGCACTGTACACATGCATTTGTCATGAAAGTATCAGTGATGTTCATTCTGTTTCTGATCTCACACTGGCATGGTGATGGCGAGCTGCCCACGTTCGTGAAGGCAAAGTGTCTCTGCAGCACACCTCGTGGTATCGTACAAAGAGGCAGCTTGACCAGCAGCGCAGCGTGTTTGGGTTATCGCCTATCTAATGCATGCAGCTGTGTACGCATACCACGGTGCCAGGATGCATGCACTACTTAGCAGTTGGGTGAAGATGCTTATCACAAGGATTGTCAACGATTAAACCGTGCTGGCCTGCTTACCGCCATCACGCCTCTATGCATTTCCAGAATTTATCGTTAAAGATCTTTACATTGCTGCACTGCGCTATGACAAAGGCCCCTCCAGATGTTTCGCCCCCACTGCACTCTGAAATTGCAGCAATGCGACCACAAAAAAAATTTTTTTGCATGGACTTCACTCTCAATGCAGACATAAGGTATACATATGCTAAAGACATATGGGTGTTCAAAGACAAGCATCGTGGCAATTTTTAGCGCTGCGTAACAAATCTCCGAAGTCAATAAATCCCACGATTCCCTTTTGCACTTTATGCTTCATGTTGCGTGCTATCTATAAAGCTCTTCGTTGCAATCTTTCAAGAACAATTCAAACCAACGGAGCTATTAAATACGTGCAACTTTTCAATGTGCTATACTAAAGTAGCTTATTAGCATACAAAACATTTTGTCTGAACTACATAATGAAAGGCTTCAAACATACTGTAGTGACAATCTTGCGGGGGGAAAAAAAACACATTTGACAACAGTAGCAGGCGATAAAGGCGAAAATATTAGATAATATGTTACTTGCTGATGTTGATGGCCTTGAGAAAGTCCGTCAGCAGCTGAGTCTTTTCCTCTGCTGAATGCCAGAATGTTCCAGTCCGGTAGCTCAAGCGCAGGTCTGTCAAAAAATTATAATGGATGTCTAACAGGCGAGAGACAATGTAGCCCAACATTTGCCATGAAAGAAAAGTAAGCAATGTACATTTGCAGACTTGATTGATATCTGGGGTTTAAAGTCCCAAAACCACGATATGATTATGAGAGACGCCAAAGTGGAGGGCTCCGGAAATTTCGACCACCTGGGGTTCTTTAAGGTGCACCCAAATTCGAGCACACGGGCCTACAACATTTCCACCTCCAATAGAAATGCAGCCACCACAGTCAGATTCGATCCCGCAACCTGCGGGTCAGCAGCCGAGTACCTAAGCCGCTAGACCACCGCGGTGGTGCGCATGCTTGCAGACTACAGATAGCAAATGTGCTATGCGTAGTCTGCAAATTTAGAGTCCACTTGCTTTTGCAAGTTCCTATCAGCTACACAGTGACAAACCAACATAACTCTCTCCAAAGAGTTCTCAGTTATTATTGTACCGTCTAGCTTGACGAGCAAAGCAGTTTAGACAGGGACTGCTTGATAGTTACTTCACAAACATGTACAACTGAACATAAACATCATGTTTTGTAAAAATTTGCATTACCTCACGAACTTCACTGCATTGAGGTTTTGGTGACGGTGCACATAAGTAAAGCCTTCCTATTATGGTACATGTTGTATAATACTAGTAGGTTACTATTTACCTAAAAGAATTTCCCACTTGAAATATGGATGCCTCTGATTAGTAATGAATGATTGGAGGTAAACGTCGGCACTATAAATATCCCAACGTTCCCATGAAGCTGCAGGGACTGCCACAGAGAGTGAGTTTTTATTGATGATGGAGCCGAAATTCAGCAACACGGTCCATTAATAACATCCAGCAACTGTGTCAACATCCACATGCTTCTCGTGGCTGATGAGAGTGGACGTGGCAAACTTTCTAGTTGACAGTATGGTCAATTGACATACGCATAGATACTGTTTGGAAACTTCTTCTTCGTTGCACTTCACTCATCTTCTATGGTTGATGGTGTTGTTTGCTGCAAGCTGTCCCCGCACACTCTACAAAAGGGTTTCGCGACATTCTTTTGGTGCAATCGTGTGGTTTTACCGCGACAGCGATGTCTGCTGTGATCTCGAGGGGCGGCCCGTAGCGTCAACACTACGATGCATTTTGCAAATTCCGTGGCAAACTTGCACGATGACGACATTGACACTGTAGCGAGCTACCACCAAGGCATCAAGACAAACTGGCGATAACAAGGAACGACAAAACGGAGCTGCTGCCTCACTCTCCATGTAAAGTGTGGTTGCAAAAAGAAGGTAGCTTATATCATGCGTTGCTTGAGGTGTGCACGGATAACAAGCATGAAGAGCGAATTTCAGCCAAAACAAGGATCAGGGGTGCTATCACGTTACGGTTACCGACATCGTCACGCTCTTTTCTGGGTGACGTGACAAACCTTTTTTTTTCTGGTTTTCCAGAAACCTGCAGATGCTTGTGATGCAAGGCCCTTCATGACAGCAAATCCTGTCGCCGTCACTCAAAAATCGCATGCAGGGTGGTTGAGCCTTAAGGTTTCGTATTTCGTGTTGGCTCGCGGAACTGCGGCAGATGAATGTAGGGGGTTAGTTTATTACACAGGGGGAAAAAAAGATCCAAATTTTGATGACTGAAGTTTGGAGTGAGCTTAATATGAGGGAGTGTTCATTATGCAAGCAAATGCGGTAAGTCACAGCCTTCTGCTTTGCCAATTCTTTCTGGGCTGTTTTATGATGAGGTGTGTGTATTATCTAGAACACTCTTCACAAGCAGCAAACCTTAAAACTTACTATGACATCAAATTCACCTTCAAATAGACAGTTGTCACTTCTACTTTTGATAAGTTACTCTCTAATCAACCTTGTTTCTAGCAACCATGCTTACTTTGTCACACTGGTGGTTTGCAATGTTCTTCTTCCAAGCTGTTAACGAGCAACTATGTAGGTTTCAAAATTGAAAAGAGTTATTGCATTATTTTTAGATACTATGTAGAGAATTACATAGTGGTCTTAAAACCACAGATGAGATTTGTCTAAACTTGCTAAATTTTCTTTTTATGCCCAACACAGCTTCACGGTATCAATACAGCAGCACAAACCTACTTGGTTAAACTGAAGGCTGAAAAACACGCATTTCAATAGAAGCACGAAACATGAGAAAACCGATGCATCTCAAACTGCATTATACGTACTGCATGTGTGCACAGTATCAGTGTTGAACAGGATGAACTAAAAAAGAGACAATTGCTAGTTATATATTGAGCAATCAGGAACAAGGCAACTTGAACATAAATCATATTGAAACATCGTAGCATACATGCCAAAATCAATGATTCTGAATCTGGGAGATTTCCGCTACGAAGAGAGGAGGGGGGGAGTCACACTGATTCACTGTATTTCGGTTTCCTTTTTTTGCATGAAAAAAAAAAGAAAACAAAAACATCTGAAAAAAAAAACAAAACAAAGACAAGGTCTTATAATGATCTGGAGTGGCTGGACACATGATGGTAGGCTTTCCCAAATACAATATAAGGTGCGAGTCTCAATACGGGTGCGCAAATATTCGTATCTCGCAAAATTTGACGTCATCAAAAAAACTAGTAAAATATTAGCTAGTCAAAAGGACTTACGCATGTCTTTCTAGGACACACATGAAGGGACGGGACAGCGCAGCCGGCTGCCCGGAAAGCGCGGGTCGAAGCTTTGCTTGAGGCCAATGCAGATCGACAGGAACGTCACTAGATTTTTGAACAGGAAAGCCAAAACGCTTCTAGCCTTTTTTTACATCTTTATTGCCTTCAATTTACCGCTGTGTGGGCCGCGTGCTCTTGGCTAATAGTCGCTGCGGATAATCACATCACCACAAACACGGTTGCGGAAAACGCGGAAAATGGTAGTTCCGTTTTCAATCCACATGCCCTGTTTGCAGACGTGCCTATACAAAGCCAGGCCGTTTCTTGCTATCTATATGATCGCACCTGCCGCGGCTTTCTCCGTAGCATTTGTGGAAAGCAATGCCGCTTTGACTGGTTGAGTTTTGGACGCGCGTGAACTTTTAGAGTTCTGTCAGTTATATGTTGCCGCCATACAGGATTGTGTGAAGAGCGACCACGGTTTCGTCCACAGTGGTTGTGGCAAACAATAGTCACAGTTCTGACAGTGCGTTTTCGACGGTTTCAATACGAAAGTTTATACGACACACCGCAATGAGGAAAAGTATTCACAATATCTGAATTTCGGGCCAATGGACTTAGTGGAATTCAGCTGGGGAATTTCACGAGTTTGTATCTGCCAATTTTCCATCATTGAAATTCTACTGTACATTTAGATGAGCATTCCCTAAAATTGTTTACAATAAAATGCGATAGGTTCACAAAAAGGTTGCATTGCATTGGGCTACATTTTTGTCATTGTGGCAAGACCACGCATATAAATTACGATTTCCAGGAATTTATCCTGACAACTGTACAAGCGTAAGAACTGGTTGCAATACAGGAGACTTGGCAGGTATGTCATAGGCTTCTTTCATATTACAGAAACACCGTTATCAGACAAGTAGTCATAACAACTTCAATCTAAAATGATCCTGTAAATATGATCCCTCATCATTTGTCATCTGCAGTAAAATGTTGCAATAAAGTCTATTTCAACCACACCATTGAACTTGAAAGTTCAGCAATAATGGTGCTCACACAGTGAGAATGCAGAAGATTAGTGGTGCCATGGAAGTCATCATACCCCAACAACAAGCTCCTAAAGTGTGTTGGGTGTGATTTCCTGTTATATCCTGAATGTAGCCAAGTTTCTGCAGCGAGCACGCAACCATGTCGGTTGAATGTAGTTCTCTACTCAATCTATCCAAGTTAATATATGTAGATAACCGAGGAGAACAATGCCTGAAGAGAACAATGCTGAATTAAAGTAGGTGGTTGTGTTCTAATCTTGTCCTTCTAATCTGGTCAATTCACACAACAATCGAAACTGAATGATACAATTCTTAAGGGAGAGTGAAAACATTCGCATCATACCACATTATTAAGGTTTTATTGAACTATCTAAAGGCGATGTGATACGATAGTCGTGGCTGAGCATAAAGAAGTGTACCATCGCAGCATTTTACCAATGCCCAAGGTAATATGCATCCAGTTTCACGTAAGTACGAGTGTGTGCCTTTGCCAAGCGACTCTGCATGATTGATCCACAGTGTATTGTGTGTCACGCTGTGCTTACCAGGCCACCGAGGTGAGATGACAGTGACACCTTGGCTGTCCAGGAAAGGCACCAGTTGAGTAAAATCACGATAACTGCCGGGGGCGCCGTGCAGCAACAACACCGTGGGGCTGCCCGTGCGCTGAGCCACCGGTCTGTCCAAGCCCGTGTGCATGTAGCCGAGTTCCACTTCAACGCCTGAAATAGCAACAGTTCAAAAACTGTGATAAAAAAATGCTACTAGTAAATGCAGTGCAAAAGTGGTGAAGCAAACAGTAATAGTGCTTGGTGTTACTAAGCTACCACAATGTACATTAGCATGCCACTTTCACTGATTAATTAAATAAAACTACGGAAGTGTGTTGACTACCAGTATACGTATCCTTTTTGTTGTGAATATTAAAAACACTTCCATATATTTAGTTGCAGTGGCGACTTCTCTGTGACAAAAAAATCAACGAGCACAAACAGCAGTAGACACTAAATACAGTTTAATATTATGAACAACAGTACACTAACTGATGACTTGACCATCTGTCGAACACGGTGTCTTTTCCATTACTGAGGTGAGGAGTCGGTGTTCTGGGGGAATGGGGTGTGGGTACTTGAATAAAAAACATGAAGAAAGGACACTTGCAAACACCTGTGCTGTCTAAGATCAAATGGGACTGGACAATGGGCATTATATACGAGATATTCGTTTTTTTTTTCTTTTAACAGACAATTGAAGATTGTTTGAGATCACCTGCGTGAGATAGAATAATATTGTAGTTTTCTAGCTTGAGCATTGAAAGCTGAAGTTATTATACTAGTTGGACAAATTGAATTATATAATCAACTAGTTAACTAAGATTAAAAATAACTATTTAATGATTTACTGTTAAGTAGTCGACCAAAAAAAGTTTATGAGCGACATAAGCAAATGCTAAACTGCCTATCTGTGTCACCTACTATTGACCGCAGTGCTGGACCAAAAACGGGTCTTCTTATGATTCATAGGTATATCAATTTTCTACTGCACGCAGCATATCGTTAGTGCATTGTTTTCACGCAAAGCACCTATTAGCGATATGAGCGCTACACGTCTATTTTTATAGCAGAATAAAGGCTATTGTGGCGTGCTACAAACGGTGTGCTGTATAGGTAGTTATTACTGTGCAATAAAGGCTGCGACTGATAACTGTTCAGCTGACAGACTGCTCTTAAGATAGAAGTATGCAGCCACAGCTGCTGAGAGCACGTCATGGCGGTAGAAAACATAACATGAAAAATGTTTGGGACCAGTGGGAAAATCGTCAGGTCATCGACTGAGGGAGGGATGCGTCTTGGATATAGTGTTGCTGTCGACCGCTGAAGACCTAGAGGAAATATCGCAAGAAGGCTCTTGGCCGCGTGCTCGCGTGGTCTGTAAACTTTTGTGGTGAACCTTACACATCTGAACAAATGAATTGAGAATGGTGATCTTATTAGGCACGGTGATTCTCACATTGAAATTTATTATCTTTTGCACCATGCTCTCCACCGAACCTCTATATGCTATTCGTTATGTGATTGTGCATTATCTAGCATGCACAAATTTTTCACGGTTCAAGCAATTCAAAGGATAAGCCCTTGAACAGTGTTATTGGTTATTTTTTTGCATTCTCCATTCATTACAGCAGTAAGCAATCAAAGCCCACATTTAGAGACCTGTATAAAAGATTGTGTTTAGACAACACCATCATCACAAGATAAATTTATGACCCCTGTAACATGAAAACTTATACCAGTATTCCACAGTTACTACTGTCTTGTGCAAGCCAACTGCACAAGACCCTGGCAGTATTCTCGAATTTGTGATGCTACATGATTCCCTGCAGTCTTTGCCTACATTTCTGTTCCCTTAGCATTGTTTTTGATGATCGTGTAGACCCCGATTGGTTAACTCCAGAGCATTACATGGCCTATCCACCTCCTTTTGTTCTTAATTATGTAGTGAAGAGCTTTTTGTCGTGGTCCACCATATTCATTGCAACATGAATGGATTAATTGACTACAGTGAAGAGGAATACCCAGAATCTGCACCAAACTATAACACAAACAGTGGGCTGATAATAGTAGTTGCACCTGAACAGTAGCAGCAAGAGCTAAACAGGCTAGCAACCTCCCGCTCAAGCCTCGTGCAGGGCTGGCAATGTTCACCCTCTGCTTGCTATCTATGCCACACTGCTGCCATCTAGGATTAATTTTATGCACGTAATTCTTTGGTGACATCACTCAATATGTGGCCTTTCACTTTCTCTCAAGCTTCTTCGTTATCCTTTAGGTTTCTGGCCCACATGAAAGTAAGTAACAATAAAGAGACACTAAAATTAAGAATAAAATAGTTTAGTTTAGATGTTAATCTCACCATCACAGGTTTACTATTAGATGAGCAAAGGGATTTCATAAGTTTCACTGCCAAATTTCCCACCGAGATCTCCTATGGTGACATCACAACTCTTGGACTGTTTGTTAGTATTTTGGCCGCATTGGCTCAACGAAATATTATGAAACTTGCTGTGTCAAATCTGTGGCTCCTAGCAGAATGTCTCGTAGTACATTTTGGGGGCTAGTTGGCGCATTCTTTCAAAAAGAAAGGATTGCACAGCTGCTGTCACCTCTGTTTTTGTGTGCAATCCTTCCTTTTGAATACAATGTGGTAACGGGAACCTTCTACCCGAGAAGGACTGTAAGCTTCTGGATGACAATGTAAAAATTTTCTCTCTGATTTTTTCTCTCCTACCTTCGGGAGGTGCATTCTGGTAGCCTGGCTTCCATTTTCTCCAGTCCTGGTAGAGTTTCGCACACGTGTGAACTTTTACGGTGCGCTCGGTGTAAGGCCACTCGGGTGGTTCTACTGGCGCGGGCTGCTTCTTCAGTGCAGCAGCAGTGGGCTCAAGAACCTGTTCATGGACATGTCGTGGCAAAGACTTGTAAACAATGGCAAGAAAACCATTGGAATACAAAGCCATAAAGTAAGTAACAATAAAGAGACACTAAAATGGAAGAATAAACTAGTTTAGTTTAGATGTTAATCTCACCATCACGGGTTTGCTATTAGATGAGCAAAGGGACTGCATAAGTTTCACTGCCAAATTTCCCACCGAGATCTCCTATGATGACATCACGGCTCCTGGACTGTTTGTTAGTATTTTGGCCGCATCGGCTCAACGAAATATTATGAAACTTGCTGTGTCAAATCTGTGGCTCCTTCAGAAGACAATATACCTTTACTGATTAGGAACTATGCAGGCCCTAGTAGATGCTGTCAAGACCTATGGTATCATGGTAATTGGTGCGTTAACTTCAAAGTGATCTTGCTGCTCGCATTTTTAGCATCATGAAAGAGTAATTTACTAATATGAGAAAAGTGTTTTTTTTTTCTATTTATTGTCTCTTTAAATTGTTTCAATATGTGGAAATGCAAATGACTATTTACCCAGTATTTTCCGTTTGGCATGCGGTGGAAGGAAGCATGTGCATTCAAACAAAAATTTCTAAAAAAAAACAGATGCCTGGTCCTATTTATGTCTGGCTGGTTTTCATACAGGCTCGTTTGAGTCTTCAGTTAAGTGAGCTAGATGTGTGCTTTTTTAGGGGGCCCTTACATTCCTTCAATGGAGCTTTGAAGATCTGTAAGGCTTCCAACTGGATTCCTATAATAGTCAGCAAGTCGTTCAGAATGAAACTCTTAAACTGAGTACATAGAAAGTTTGCAACTTCCTTTATAAAAGCGGATTCACCATTCACTCAAAATTAATATTACAAATGCTGATAAAACTTGACAGCATCCTGAAACAAGAAGGTAAACATGTTTACAGGATGTTTACTGCCTTGCATTAGGGTCCTCCCACTGCTTTTAAAAATAATTAATTGTGCCTGTATTTTTAGGAAATTAACATGAGGGTGTGGACAAAGGCAACTATGATAGGCGGCCTAATAGTAATGTTTTTCTATAAAACGGGAGAAATCACACCACGAAGACTAAGCACACCACCCTTCAATGAGTCCAATGAAGAATGGCACAAACTGAGTAGGTCTTAGGGTGTGAGAGCGGCACAAACATGAGTATACAAAGGGGAGCTTCAAGTACGAAACGATGCAAATGGCAACGAAATATTCAGAGAGGTTGCTGAGGTAGCTGACTATGTATATGTAAGACTGTATCAAAGCACAGACCAGGTCTCTGTTTGACATTTACTAAGCCTCCCCCCTCTAGAGCGCAAAACTCGGCAATGGACGTTGATCGTAGAGAAAGGTTCAAATGACTGGAACTGTACAATCCTTCTGAAAAAAACGAAATGCAAGATCTAAGACACCACCAGAGTTTGCTGTAACAGATGGTCTCTAATTTGGTCGCTTCAATTACCAGAAAATCCTTTAAGTCATCTGCAGACCACTTGTTCCAGTGTTTGGTTATGCCTAAAACAAAATCCTTAGCCACTCTCAGCAGTATCAATTCCTCTTTTGTGCTATCTCCAAATGAGATCACAAAGTTCTGAATGTAGCGGATGTAAAACAGAGAAAGAAGACCTTCAAAGACTTTCATAATGTCTTCTTTGCTTGTAGGTGGAGTAATTTAAACATTAGCTATTGCTGTGTCAACACCACTGCATTCAATTTCAACCACACATGTCACAAACACCAGTAGAAATGGTGGTTTTATCGATTCCAACTGGTGATGTGTAGTCAATTTGTCTGACAAAGAAACACGCCATACTTCATACTTTCGTTGTAGTCAGCTACGCCTACAGCAGCCTTCAAATTTTTCGGTGGATTATCTTGTCAATTTTCGCACTGGCTGCTCCAGCACTTTGTAGGTGCGGAGTTTCAATACAGCAGGTGTGACAAGATAGGCTATCGCTTATAGTGACATCAAAAGCGCATCATTATGCCGCTCAATAGAGAAACAAGTATAGCCGAAATTGCAAATTGTACTTTAACAATTCTTTTATGCCAGCATTACCCATGCTTTTCAAAACATAATCCTACTCGAGTATCTGTGCAGTGTGCTTTACCTATTACAAAGGCACACAATGACCACAGCTTAATTTATAGCTTTCAAAGTCATGGTGATGTCGATAAACTGGATTTTGATGGCACAGCAGACAATCTGACTTCCAATTCACCAATTTCAAAACATGAACAGCTTCACATATACAACTCCCAGTACAAGTTATTTGTTAATTCTGTGATGACGTTGAATAGACCAAAGCCCATCATACAATCAGCAAATACTCATTTGCAGGCAAGCTGTAGGTGACATTAAGATGACATGGCTAAACACAAGTACGAACGAAAGTTTTAGAGTTGAAACTAATTAAAATGAATGACACAACATATAAAAATGTGTTGGAAAACATTAGAAAACATTGCTCAATTGCCATCAGTTTCACTTGAAGTTCGTAGTGTTGTGTCAAGGCGATAACAAGAATGCATAAAATGTACCTGCGTGGCAACAGCTTCGATCTGTCCCTGCGACCTTGATGTCAGAAGTCCTCGACATAGCAAGATTTTCGGGGGCAATCTGCTTATGGTGCACACATTCTTGCATGGCTTGAGGCTGAGGAAGGTCTTGACTGTTCCCTGCATCCTGTTTTCTAAAAAAAAAAGGGGAGAGGTTCATAATGAGTCAGTAAGAAATATTACAGCAATGCTACACGAAAGGAAGAAAAAGTAAACATTAGGCAAAATGTTGAAACAATCTTCTGAAAAAAGAAAATGACAGCTGCGTCTGGGCATTGATATCACGAACTCACTTGTGATGGCACATACACATACATCATGTCACTTGCATATTGACTTTTACTTTTTCCTCTCATTGCCCCAAAAGCTGACAAAATGTGTGGGGAAATCACAAGTCATGTGAGCTTAAGGTAAAAATATTTTCGAAGGAGAACGCTCGATTAACTCACGACGAGGAGCTGATTGTCATAAAAAGTGAGTTGTTATGCACACGCATACATTGTTCATGACAGTTTCTCAAGAGCACTTCTTGAGCTTCCGTCGACTCAAACAGAAGTTCGCTCAACCAATACGGCCAATCGAATAGCTTAATTACGCCGACGCACTCGTCGCAGGTCCAGCCTCCGGCAACGCGGCAAATAGCGGAGTGAGCAAAAAAACCAGTGGGTTGGCTCTTGGAAAATGCAATCGCGGCAGCTGCACGAGTTGAATCTTGCGAGGAGAGAGCGCTCTTTATCTCTTAGCTTGGTGGTTGTGGTTAGAGGAAGGAACAGGCGCCTAATTTCTGCAGCCCTTAACTTGAGGAGGGAAATCGCGCAATCGCAGGCGCTTTCTGCTTTCATAACCGCACCCGATTGGCGCCTACTGCTCTCCGTTTCGTCTTCCACATGCACATCCTCCGTTCACTCAATCAACCAATAACAGCGCCGCGGGGAAGTAATCGCACCAGATATCGTATGTCCCCTTTCCACTACGGAAAACACCGTGACAGCGCGCTGTTTCGTTTTACACGGTTTTACGTCGACAGTGCGAAGAATAGATCTCGTTAAAGCGCCCGTAACAACACATCGTCCGATCATGACGAATATGTCAACGGGCGCCGGTCGGCCCATTTCAACCCTTTCTTTTCTGACACGGGAGGTCGGCGCAACAAGCATGCAGCGCCTCAATTTTGCCGGCTCGACAGCTGCAGCCAAGAGAGAGAGAGAGAAAGCGATCAAGCCGCTGACAAAGGGCTGACAGGTAGGTATACTCACAAGCGCGGCGTGGTCGGCGGAGAGACTTTGCGCACACGGCAGGAATAAACCAGATCAACGAGCGCAGGGCCTCGTCTAAGGCACCATAGCAACGCACACCCTGAGATGAGCCAGAGATGAGGAGCTGCTGTCGCTGCCGCAAGTTGAATGATCGAGGCAAGGGCCAGCTACACGAGGGTTACGTCACAATCGTGCGATGCGTCGCACCACCAAGGCCACCGCCGAGAGGTGGCGCGATGTGCCCTTGCTGACGAAATATGGCGCCGTTTACAAACCTAAGGAACGCGACGTTCAGTTGAGTTCGTACGGACAGCGACCAGGAATAGTGCCGCAAGCAGCTGCGTAATCTAGGCGGTGGTGGTCGCCTGCGAAGCGAGCAAGCGCTGCGCACGAAGTGAAAACACTGCGCGCGACGGTGTGCGCGTCTCCAGCGAATGGGCCCCTTGAGCAGCTTGGACGCGGTCCGGTTGTTTTGGTTGCGGACCCCGCTAGCGGACGAGCACTCGAATGCGGAGAAGAACCGGAATCGAGGTCAAGAGCGTGCGATGAACCGGACGGTCGTGAGAAGGAGCCTGGTTAATGGTCTTAAAATGTCGTCTACCTCCAGCGAGTCCTGGTTTCATTCAAACACAACAAAAGGATTTCACGGTGGATTGCAGACTGGGTCGCCGTGTGCGCGCCGGCAGTGGCGCGTCTAGCGGTCTTCGTCTAACTGGTTTATACTATTAAATTTGTGCTATCGTTGGGAGGGCTTCGAGAAAGTAACGTAAAAGTGGCATTAGCAATATAAACGAGTCGTGCGGCTTGTAATATGTACTAGTACGTCTGACAGATACGATGTTAAGCGCGACAGAAGAGCGTTTTCTTTTCTTTTGACCATCATCCGTTATGCGGAAGGCAAATAACAAGCATTTTTATTTTCTAGTTAACTTAAAGCAGCCCTTGATCTAAATCTTGCTGAAAATTCACAAGCACGGAGCGCTTCTCGGGCCCATGGTCGGCTAGGTCATCGCTGTTCCACCTTTCAAGGTATCTTCCCAGCATTCTTGATTCGTTTAGCAGGCAAGACGGAAACTCGCATTCGTACCACGATAGACTTCGTAAAACAATGTGAAGACGAATATAACGTATGAAGGTCAAATATTCTTAATCTCTCGACGTTTTATCCCTTTTCACCCGTTCAATCAGGTGCTCAGGCAGATTTTTATTTTTTTTTTAGAAAGTGGAGGTGAGGGGTGGGGGGAGGACCTTCTTGATCTGAAGTGGAGGCTGGACAGGCACATGTAGTCGTGAGTGCCATCTTCGGCTGTGTATGCCGTTGAAAAAAAAATGGGGAGGGGGGAGGATACAGGCCCGGTGTGCCATACGCTGGCTACGCCACTGTCCCCAGTCAATGAGGGCCCGTCCTCTACTATACCGCTGAGGACGGGCCCCTTGCCACCCCTACCCTTGCTTCTAGACTGCTGCTTCTGTTGATGACGACCGTTCCACTGCTCACTTAATCTTTCCTCTTCTTTCCACGTTTTTCCCTTCCCCACAGGCACTGCGCCGTGCTCCCGACCGGGTTGCAGAAATTAGGTGCCTTTTCTCATCTTCTAACCACTGCCACCACCAATCGAGCGTTGGCCGTCAAGACTGTAGAGGATTCGGGCGAATAAGACAACAGGGTAGGTCAACAAAACAACACTTTATTGCTTCGTTAGCAATAACGTGTAAATGTCGCGTAGAGGGGCTGTCCGTTCTAGGAAGGCAACAAAAGGGTAGACGCATACGCCTATCGTCGTCGAGGTCGGTCCTTGGCTCGCAGCGGGTATCCGGAGTTGTCCTCAGTATGGTGGGTGGTGGTATGGGTTAGAAGAGGAAAAAAGCACCTAATTTCTGCAGCCCGGTAGGGAGCACGGTGCAGTGCCTACAGTCTAGTGGCCGGCGCAAGAAAGCTTGTCGCTGTCGGCACGCTCATTTTGACCAACTTTTTAGTTTCCCTCTCCCCAACGAGGGTTGGTTCCTTCGATGAGGGAGGACAATGCGTTTCGTGAGCCGGGAAATGGGGATAGCATGCGCCGGCCAACGGGGGATCAGTCCCTTTGAAAGAGGCTTCTCTCGAAGGGACAGACATGTCCTAGTAACTAGGCTGCCACGCTGCCGTAAAAGGGAAAGAAACCATGTGTGCACGTGCTTCCCCACAAGCCTTACAGGCACTTGCTTCAGGATGACACAACTTTGCAGATTCACAGTTTGCTTGCCGGTTTCCGGGCTACGCACCTTATTGCTCTTTTCCCGGACAAACTCTCATACTTCATGAGCCTTTGCTCTACAGACAAGTTTGTTTTCGCCACGCCAAGTGGGAAGAACATCGCTTTCATCACCGCCTCAAGTTTGACAATAGGAGCTATCGAAAGAAGGACGCTGGAGTAATTTAGATGAGGAGTGTTATGTATAAGTACGGTGACATTTATCATACTTCTGCGCCATATACAGGAAGGACTTGCTGCGTTTCCTTGAGTGCCCGATCCGCACCCAGCCTTCCATCAAGTTTGCCGCGTGGAAGAGGAGTGAAAGTAGATGTCTATCTTAGACATACTTTTAAACCACGCTTACACTGATCTAATCTTCGACGTATTACCGAAAACCATCTAGTTCCTCCCCGTACCCGGGCTATATGTGTCAGTTCTCTCGCTTTTCCACAAGCGCTTACTCATTGGCTACCTCATTGAAAAATCATTACACACCTGTTGACGATGAAAGAAGTCTGCAGAAGGTGCTTGAGATCGGTGGGGCAGGCCTGATGAAAACTTTATGTCAAGTATTTCAATAAAACCTCAAGACATTCTGCAGTGGACTCGCACTGAAACGGAAGCGCTCCACAGTAGCTTACAGACATGAGAGTCTTGTACTTACACTATATATAAAACGATCTGAGCTATAGGTACTTAAGCAGCACTATACATCGGGGAAAAAACCAAACAATAGTTCATATATCTCTTCCTCCAATTATTTGCATCATCCTTGAAGGGATTATTTTAATCGGTAAGCCCTTACCTATTTATAATGACGCAGAATCACTCCCGATAAATCTTCTACCATGCGAGCAGCTGTGTTACACAACAACGTTCTCCCTTGAACTACGTTACAATATCACTATCATCGCATTTACCTCGACTGTAAACCCCAGGGTCATACATTTTCTTTTCAACCCTTAGTCCTAAAACATCTATATCTTTGATACCTTCCCCTTTGTATGTATGCGCCTTCGTCAGCACAGGGTAGCAAAAGGTGTGCTACCTATAAAGTAAGGCAAAGATATTTTCTGTACCTCACAGTGTGGCTGATGAAAACGTGTTTAAAAGTTTCGGACACGTTACGAATCTGACATTCACCAGACAAAAAAAAAAAAGGGAAATATCTATTTCAGTCTATAAGGGGAAACTGTAATTTTGAAAACGCTTCCAAACACATAATGTTCCGGTAATATATTGGATACCGTTTGATATTATGGTGGTGGCAGCAGGATCAATAGTCACTTTTAGTAAATACTTTTTTCCCTGACCCCGCGGTCAAGTTAGATGCCTACAGGCAACTACATAAGTTTACGGACCACACGAGCACGTGCCAAACTGCTTGTCCGCGCCATCCGCCGTCGACCACAACGCTGGGCCGGAGCCAAGTCTTATTGTTATTCACTCCTATCGCTGCAGAACATTGTAAGTTGTTTTCAAGCATAACGCTGACAGGGTATGGGATCGCACTGCTACTTCGATAAGCAGAATAAGAGCTACGACGGCGTGCTTCGAACGGTGTGCTGTTGGGTCACCACTTTCTGAGAAAGACGGCGATAACAGCTATGCCGATAAACTGCTCTCGAAATAGAAGCACGTAGCCATGGCTGTTGAAGGTCACTTGGCATTAAACGTCAAAGGTGGCGAATTTCAAGCCCAGTCGCCAGGATTTTTTTACTAAAAGGAATGGGAGGGAGGGGAGGCACCCATGACAGCCGAGTTTCTTCGGGAGGCGGGAACGTATGCGTTGTGCTTTTTATATGCTTGCTCTTAAGGGGGGGGGGGGGGGGAGCAGGCGAAATACGCATCCCCCGCTAGAGGGAAAATAGCCAGGCCATGGATTAACGGAGCCATGGATGCGTCCTCGGCAAGGCCATAAGGCAAATTTTTTTTCTAGGGGTGGGGGGTGGGGGGAGTGTTTAATTATATTTCATGTTCGTGCGTGCGTTTGTATGTGTTTGTATATATATATATGTTTGTATATGTGTTTGTATATATACGCAAGCAAAACTGCAAAAATTTTCGGGGGGTGGTGGAAGGGGAGTTGAATCCCCCCTCCTTCTGGCTACGCCCATGATTCTCGGCGTAGTGCTGCTGTCGATCGTCGCTTTTACGCAGCGGAAATTTCGTGAAGACGCTCTTGGCCACGCGCTCGCATGTTCCGTAAACTTCTGTGGTTGACTGTACAAAAATCAAAACGAAGAATACCACCAGAAAAATCATCTCTCGTGCAAGCTTTGCTTACTTGACAACCTTGTGTAAAAAAAAAAAAAAAAAAAAACACCGCCAGCTTTGCGCGGAAGGCACATCACAGCGAAATCTAGCCTGAAATGCGGCCTTTCAGAGCCTTTTCTAAACACTCATTGGGTAACTACTGCAAGCAAACTTGCTTGATACCCACTACGGCATTATTAATAAAAAAATTTTGGGAAAGTAGCAAAACAGCATTCACATTGCTATTTTTCGCCATTCTTCTGAGAAGCATGGTATCCGCTAAACACTTGCAAGGAATGTTGTGGCGATTGTTCATGCAGTGGCTGATGATTATGGGGAATCATGCCTGAAGTTGGTATGCGCCACAGTTATTAGCTGAACAGGAACAAGCATTTGTAATGGGTTGGAGCAATGCACGACCCACTCGTTATGCTATTCGCATTGTGCGACGACTGCTTGTTATTTCGCTGTTTTAAAACGCTTTCCAAGTCGTATTAACGCGATTGCTTTCCCCACATCAAGCCTGCCTAAGGCAACTTTTAAACAAGTCCCAAACACCGGCGTGGCTCAGTGATAGAACACTGGGCTGGCACCCTGCGGACCCGGGTAGTATAGCCCCACTGTGTCATTGCTACTAGGTTCCCTCCCCCCTAATTTTGTGCTATGTGGTTACGGACACCGGCGGTG